GATTTGACTGAAGCAATTTGAAAATTGGTAAGATATTAAAAAAATAAAATTTATATATTTCAAAACTATTTGAAAAATTCTATAAAGTAAAAGACGATAAGATCATATTATTTTTTCAAATAGGTCATGAAGCAATTTGAAAATTGGTAAGATATTAAAAAATAAAATTTATATATTTCAAAACTATTTGAAAAATTCTATAAAGAGACGATAAGATCATATTATTTTTTCAAATAGGTCAAAAAACATAGTTAAAATTTGATTATGTGAATAAACAGACAACTTAAATTGAGACGGATTGAGTAAGAGTCAAACACAATATTCATCTTACTTGCTCGCATCCCCATGTATATTTATAATACAGAGTACAAATTAAGCAGATCTTGCCCTCGCTGTAGTAGGATAGAAGATTGTAAAGCCATGTCTTCTGGGACGTAACTCAGACTTGGTGACCGTGCGCCAGTCCTTGTCACAATGTCATGACAACCTAGAGCTCTAAATCTAACATAAATTTTTGTAATCTCATATAGGGAGTAGTTGTTTATTACATCACATAATCCATTCCCCGTTATCTACGTTATTTGATCCATACAAAGAGCAAACCTAAAAACCGGTGTTGGGTTCTTGGGCCATGGGCCTTATCATGCGTGCTTAGTGTAACTTGGCATTACGAAAATACCCCGGGAGAGTTTGTGTTGGGGAGCAACTTCTAAGCCAATTAAAATGCTCCATGGCTCAAAGATCAGCAGAAGAAGAAATATTTGGTGCAAAATTGGTAAGGTATGCTTCAGCCAACATTTTGCCAAGTTGAACCTGGGCTTCTGTGGTCAAATGGAGTTTATCATCCTTGAGCTGCAATCCTAAGGCATCAACGCACACAACATTTGGAAGGTCAATCTTCTTTTGTGCTGTTCTTATTTCATCAATGTATTTTTCATCCCCTGATGCGATAGCAACCTGGATGATTTTCACCCAACAAAACTATACCATTAGAAATTTCATCGAAGGCAGATCACTTCAATGTTAAATTGTCAGGGTAACACTTGAGAGTGGTATCATGGGTTTTAGTTGTTAAATCATCACTTTAATGTTAAATTATCAGGGTAACACTTAACAGTGGTTTCATGAGTAACACTTTGGTGTTAAATTATCAGGGTATCACATAAGGAAACCATAAGAATTGACAACTGGAAACGTGATATTTAATGCAGCAATGGAGGAAATCTTCTCTTAACCTACCACCCTCCATACATAATATTGAATATTCTGTATCAGTTAACACTCCAAGGATAATAAATCTGCTAACACTTGTATTGTTGCATTCACTTTGTGGATTTGCTATTGCACCATAAATTTACTGCTGGCTTGCTGCTTTACCCAAGTCAAAAAAACAGTGGTATCATGGGTTTTAGTTGTTTGGAATTTATAACTTTAGCAACTAATATTTAGATCTCATCGTATTCACTAAACCAATCCCAACCTACAAAGTATATCCCACAAAGGTATGTTGTGTGTGTGGGGGGTGGGGGGGGGGGTTGGGGGGAGATGTCCTCTACTCCACGGAGTAAAGGTACAAACTTCATTTTTCAACAAATAATATATGTGCACTATAAGAGCACATTTGATCTTGAATGCTTATTTTGTTGTTAATGTTGGAGGACCGGTAAAGGTTTGTTCAACAAAAGAAGTACTTGACACGCTTACGAATCGTGAAAGAATCACTTTCACACTAAAGTTATTTCGGGCAAACCAAAATACTTTAATCGGATAAGACGTAAATGTGAAAGAACGAGTATGAGGTCTTTCTAAAAGAAGACTATAGTCACATGGACTTATTTTTGTTTGTCATACCGAAATAGGCCATAGGAATGACTATTTATAGGCAAAACACTTATCGGACATGTCTTTTAAACTCAAAAGTTGAGTCTGTTCAGTACCTATTCGAATAACATACATGCTATTCGAATAGGAGACCATTTTTTGAAGGATCAGACGCATTGCTTCCGCGACTTATTCGAATAGGAAAAGACTTGTTGGAATATGTCAGCACATCGGGTCCTGACTTATTGCAATAGGTAAAGACCTATTCGAAAAGGTCCTCACAATTCAAGCTGACTTATTTGAATAGGCAAGTGCCAATTTGAATAGGTCAGACATCTTGTTCCAAATAATAATAATATAATTGAACGAGCGTGTACTCCACACCTCCTAACTCATTTAAATAGCTATTATTATTTAATGTCTGGTCACTAAGTAAATCCAACTACCCAAAATAGCCCGATGACACCATAGCTATTTAAGGCGCGATGCGCACCGATGCACAAAGGGGCTCTAGTGCCTTGATGCGCCATGCGCTATTGATGTGCACACATCACGAACACAATGCGCGCGTTGATGTATAAGTAACATTGCATCTATAAAGTAGTAATAGTACATATAAAAGTTGAAAAACATAAAAAAATTTTAAAAAGCAACCAAGAGTCAAGGTATAGACTTCATGGGTTTTATTACAAATTAGGCAAATGGTCACTCCCATTTGTTTCTGTGAACCTCCGAACAAACTTCCATCCGGGATCATTAGAAATTGGTCCTTCAAGTTCTTCAAACCCAAAATCTAGAGATTCTTCCATACATGAAACTTGAAAGAGCACAAAAAATATAAATACAAGAAGTAAAAGAGGGGAAAACCTCACAAAAAAAAAGAATCTGAAAAAATGCTCTAAAAACATATAATGAAAGGAGTGACTAACTTACTAACCTAATTCTCAAATCTCAAATAGTACATCAATTTTATTCTCAAACTTGAACAAAATATTAAATTTAATTTTGAAGTAAAATTGCAAGATAAATAATTGGAGTTTAGAAAACATCTCGTACTTTATAAAGTGAATTCTCAAATTTTACTACATCAGTTTTTTTCTCAAATTTCAAACTCATAAGAAAAATTTAAAACAATTAAAATTAAAAAATAGTTAAATGCCCCATAAATAAATAAAGAGGGATTCAGATCTAGACTGTGACTCCAATCAGTCCAAGTCAGTAAGGGATAAGGAGTAGAAGGGTTTTTTTTTAAAACTAAATGAAGAGAGCTGCGTATGAATAGGAAGAAACAAAACTAAAGAGACAAGAAAAAAAGGCGGAAGGCCGGAAGCCTCACAATTATAAAAATGAAAAAACAAAAGAACCTAAAATGTGAAGCAAGCAAATAGAGAACCTGAAGAGAGCAAAAAGATAACCGATGCACGGCAGAAGCAAAGTTGATCCAGAGAGAAAAAGCCCTTGCGATGAAGTGGCAAAAGAAACAAATCCGTAGGAAAAAACATAGAGACGAAGTAGAGAAGCAAAACTTTGGGCTGAGTCAACCCTTAAAAAAAGTTTAAAATAAAAAACTTAATCCGTGTTCGCGATGCGCACATTTTATCGCATCCAATCGCATCGCTTATTGTGCTGATGCGCAGGTATGCACTCGCATAACGTACATCGCCCGCATCACCAGGAAGAATGCGCAGAGCCCTGCGCCTTGCATGATGCCCCTTTTCACAACTATGAATGACACTATAATCACCAACAGTTAAAACATACTCCCTCCGTCCCACAAAGAATTTCACACTTTTCTTTATTTGGATGCCCAAAAAACTTCACACTTCTACTTTCTCCTTTAAAAGAAATGAATATGTGGCATCAAAATTTCTCTTTCACTTTTCATGAACTCGGTAAAGTGATACAATGAAGTTCCCTTTGGGGAGAGTGTATGTTCTACCTAGCTAATCCATGGAATACCGGAGATTAAGAATGCATCATAAGTGTCCTTTGATGGATTATAGCATGCTGGCTAGTGCCTCATTCCCAAAAGAAAATAAAGTAACTACATTGGCGGATGGAAGAGTTTGCAGGGTCCATGTCGTTTAATGGAAGTGGTAATGAAAATAAGATTTCAAACTATTACTATTTCATTTAAGAATGAAGAAAAAAGATTTGATGTATTGTAAGTTACTACGGAGCAAATCAAAAGACCAGCGATTATGCAAAAACATGATAACTTTCACTGGCAACCGACCTGAATAATTGGCAAAGATGGAATGTTCAAATCGCTGCGGATGTTGTGTATTAGTGTGTCCATATTAGCTTTGTAACTCTCAGCATCATGTTTTGACAATGTGTCGCTCTCTCCTTGATACCACAGTAATGCCTTGATGTCACAGCCATCTCCACAAATGGCAGCTTTTGCTCTCCTAACCATGCTCTCGTACAAATCTTCCCCGCGAGCCCACTCCTTAATTGCAGTTCCACCCACAGCACAGGGAACTAGCCCAATTGCACCCACACTATCCTTCACAGCATTGGAAAATGACATTCCAGGTCCAACACCACACGTCTTCTTGGTGTCAATGTCACGATGCAGTGGCTCACAAGCCGGTTCCCAGCGTAGCTGTGCACTAAAACGGAAAACTTTGGATGAGTCGGGACCACATTCAGGAGGAACTATGCCATCCCAGTGTTTCTTCCTGTCTACTCCACCACGACCAGCCATGTTGCTTTGGCCTGATAGAATGAAGATGTTCTTAGGCGACTTGACTGTCTGGTTCAGGGTTGATTTGGCGAGTTCCATGTAAAAAATGTGGTGAATCCAGATGCACGCTGAGGGCAGATCGAATTAAAATCCGATTGATTTAATAGCCAGTCCTTACAAGAGAAGGGTTTTGGTGCTGATTCTGGAAGACCTTGTTGGGAAATATCCCTCGGGAGGAAGTGTACAATTTTTAATTGGACAACACTTTAAATTTCTCTTTTATATTTGGGCTTATTTTTGTGTGTAAAGTTTTACCCCAATTGTTTTTTTAGTGCCCATTCTCTTATGTTGTGTGTGGCTACTAACTAAAAAAAAAGAAAAGAGATAAGGGAGCATGAAGAGAGAAGCAATGGTGTGGCAGTAGCAAAACGCAGGGAAAAGGAAGAAAAAGAAGATTTCCGCCACTCTCTACAGCAACAACTTTTCACCTCCGGATCGAAGGCCAAACGAAGTCAGATCGTGCTCAAATTTTAGTATGTTGTTCCTCACATACTCCTCTTCAAATCCAACGGTCAGATTCTCATTTTGATGCCCGAAAGGTTGTTTTCTAGCTGCGTTTTCAGACCTGCGTTTTTGGGAGTTTTTACTCCATTTTATGGTGAATTGTTGATTGTTGTTGTTCCAAGGTTGCTCCTTGATGATTGTGTATGCCTCTAGTGTTTACTAGAGAGGAGAACTTGTTGTACCCACTTGATTCTTGGTGATTAGTGGAAGTTTGGGAGCCGTTGTTGAGCGGCCGTGGTTTTCTCCCCGATTTGGGGTTTCCACGTAAATCGTGTGTCATCTACTTTATTATCGCTGCCATTTATTTGTGTGTGTGCTGCTGATTTTTTCAGAGTTTATTGTGCTTGTTATTCATCTCATTAATTTGGGGAAAAGATTTTATACGCTTCCGTTGTGTTTTGTTCCGTGCTTCCCCAACAAAGTGGTATCAGAGCTTGATTATTTTTTGGTTGGCTTCTTGTGTAGTTTATGATGGATGACAAAGTAATTGTTCAAGGAATGGTTAGTTTGGACTCTACGAATTATTCAATTTGGAAAATTCGTATTGAGGATTATTTATGCTCTAAAGATTTGNGAGTTTCAAGGTGTGGTAAACCAACTAGCCGGAATGAAGATGAAATTGGAGGATGAACTTCAAGCTTTGTTGTTGCTTTCCTCATTGCCCGACAGTTGGGATACATTGGTGGTTTCACTTAGCAACTCTGCTCCGGATGGAAAGATGACTATGGAGATGGTCAAGGCTAGTCTTTTGAATGAAGAGGCTAGGAGGAAAGAATCAGGCTACCCTAGCCAAGCCGAAGCAAATGTGATTCCAGAATCTAGCAGGGGGAGAAGCAAGAGCAGAAATCCTCATTATAGAGACAAGTCCAGGGGGAGATCCAAATCCAGAAAGAGAGATTTCATTTGCCATTATTGTCAGAAGCCGGGTCACATTGAGAGATTCTGCAGAAAGAAGAAGAGAGATATGTCCAGGGAGAGAAAACATAAAAATGAGAATTCCGAGCAGAAGCCAGAAGAGAAGAACACTACAGCCTTGGCATCTAGTGATGATGATTTGTTTGTTATCGGTGATCATGGACTATTAAATGTAGCCTGTGATGACTGCACCTGGGTGATTGATTCTGGTGCATCTTATCATATTACTTCACACAGGGAGTACTTCTCATCCTATACTAGTGGTGATTTTGGCCATGTGAGGATGGGAAATGATGGTTCGTCCAAGATCATTGGTATGGATGATGTTTGTTTAGAGACTTCCACTGGTTGCAGGTTGGTGCTCAGGGATGTGAGGCACGTCCCAGATATCAGATTGAGTTTGATTTCAGCTGGTCTGCTTGATGATGAAGGTTATGCCAACAAATTTTGTGATGGAAGATGGAAACTCTCCAGGGGCAGTTTGATTATGGCTCAAGGTAAGAAGCAGAATTCACTTTATGTTATGCAAGCCAGAGTATGTAGCGGAGATGCCAATGTAGCAGATGATGTCTCCGGTGATTTGTGGCATAAGAGGCTTGGCCACATGAGTCAAAAAAGGGCATGCAGATCCTTTCCAGGAAAGATTATCTCCCCGACATTTCAGGTATGCCTTTAAACTCTTGTGTTGATTGTTTAGTTGGAAAACAACACAGAGTTGCATTTCACACTCGTCCCCCACATAGAAGAAAACATGCTTTAGATCTTGTTCATACTGATGTTTGCTCTATGGATGCTAGATCACACCGTGGTGCACAATATTTTGTGACTTTTATTGATGATATTTCTAGAAAAGTGTGGGCTTTTGTTTTGAAACATAAAGATTAGTTACTTGAAGCTTTTAAGGAGTTTCATGCCAGAGTTGAAAGAGAAAGTGGCAGAAAGCTCAAGTGTGTCAGATCAGACAATGGTGGCGAGTACAGGGGTCCATTTGAGAACTATTCCAAAAGTCAGGGCATCAAGCTTGAGAAGACAATTCCAAAGACACCTCAGCTTAATGGAGTTGCAGAAAGAATGAACAGAACAATTGAAGAGAGAATCAGGTGTATGCTATCTCTTGCTAAGCTGCCAAAGTCTTTTTGGGCGGAGGCAATGTTCACTGCCGTGTACCTGATTAACCTTTCCCCTTCAGTTCCTCTTGAAGGTGATGTTCCTCAAAGAGTTTGGTCAGGGAAAGATGTCTCCTATAAGCATTTGAGAGTCTTTAGTTGCAGAGCATTTGTTCATATTCCCAGAGATGAGAGATCCAAGCTTGATAAGAAGACGAAAGAGTGCATATTTTTGGGGTATTCAGAGGATGAGTTTGGGTACAGACTATGGGATCCACGTGATAGGAAAGTGACCAGAAGCAGAGATGTGGTTTTCTTTGAAGATCAGACTATTGAAGATTGTGAGAAGAAGCAGGCAAATCCTTCTCCATGCATCACAGTTGATCCAGTTCTACCTCTTCCTCCTATTGTAGTCCCTCAAGATCATGGGGGAGATATGCCTGCAGATGACCATCATGATGATGATAATCATGATGATGGTGGTGATGATATTCCAGCGTCACAACCACATTCAGAGTCACCACCACCTCAGTTGAGAAGATCCACCAGAGTCAGAAAACCTTCCACAAGACTTTCAGAGGATGATTTTGTGCTAGTCACGGATGGAGGAGAGCCAGAGACATATGATGAGGCTATGTCACATGTGCACCGCAAGAAGTGGTACGATGCCATGCAAGATGAGATGACGTCCTTGCATGAGAACCACACATATGAGCTTGTAAAGTTGCCTAAAGGCCAGAGAGCACTCAAGAACAAGTGGGTATACAGATTGAAGTATGATGAGAGTAGCTCACAACCAAGGTACAAGGCAAGATTGGTTGTGAAGGGTTTCAGTAAGAAAAAGGGCATAGATTTTGATGAGATATTTTCTCCAGTTGTGAAGATGACCTCTATTCGAGTTATACTTGGCTTAGCTGTGAGCATGGATTTGGAGATTGAGCAACTTGATGTGAAGACAACATTTCTTCATGGTGACCTCGATAAGGAAATCTACATGGAACAACCTGAGGGTTTTCAGGTTAAGGGAAAGGAGAACTTAGTTTGCCATTTGAAGAAAAGTTTGTATGGTTTGAAGCAAGCACCTCGGCAGTGGTATAAGAAGTTTGAGTCCTTTATGATTGATCATGGCTTCCATAAAACACATGCTGATCATTGTGTGTTTGTGAAGAATTACCCCGAAGGTGACTTTCTTATTCTCCTTTTATATGTAGATGATATGTTGATTGTTGGACAGGACACCAAGAAGATTTCCAGCTTGAAGAAGTCATTGAGTAAGTCCTTTGCAATGAAGGACTTAGGCCCTGCTAAAGAGATTTTAGCCATGAGGATCACGCGGGATAGAAAGAACAAGAAACTTTGGCTATCCCAAGAGAGATACATTGAGA